TATTAGTAGAATGTCAGACAGGAGAAACTATTAGATTTCGTGTAGTTGGTGCCCAATAAATATGATTAAATGTCATGATTAAATCAATTTATTCACAATTTTGACACTGGGAATACTAGATTTGTTAAATAGTAGCCATGGTAACCGTCTGGGAAATAAGGTTATGTGAAAACATGTCAGTGCAATAAATTAGAATGTCCCAAGCTCTTACCTGATGTTTAGGGCAACATGATGAGGGATTTGGGTGATAAAGTCAACTCACTCACCAAGATAGAGTCTTTGTATCTAGTTTGCACTTAAACTCCTTCTTCCAAAAATATTTCAATTTACTTGGCCCCAAGACGACGCCACATGTTCTAAAAAAAAAATGTATGCTCATCCAGTTTTGTCTTGGTGGGTATATATAAGCTTGTTATGACATACATTATTCCATATAACCTGCTGTAAGGTAATGTATCTACATATTCTCCTATCTTTGACAGCTTTACACAGAAGCTGCAGCAGTGGGGACTGACTTGAGCATTATTTTGGTTCAAGCTGGTGTCAACATAACTCTTATTAACATTTTTCTTCCATCAAACAGCCGACTTCTGACTGTTTTATCAGCCGCACTTGTTGGTATGATTTACGAGGGCCTGGGTTCCCACAGTGTCAGGATGGCAGAACCTAGATACACTACTGTACATGGGGCTGGTAGTGGTGGTGGATATAACTCGTAACAGGCAGTGTGTTATGGGTCGTAATTCCCTGTACTTCATGACACAAACTTTAAAGCCTTTCTCGCTGGAGATTGGCTTGGACCCACAGAATACCCAATTTCTCTCTCCTTTTCCTTTTGCCTTTTCACATCTGGTGGAAGTATGGGCGAATTGTATTGTGCCATTGCCCTTCGTACCCCATGAATTTAAGCCAGCCCGTGCCTTTCTAGGCTGCAACAATAGGAACAAGGAGACTGGCTGTGGAGTAAATAGGTTCACTTGAGTCTTCCTGCAATGATAGAGATACAGTGTTCCACTCTGGCTGTATGAAAAAGCAATTTTCTGTCCAATGTATTCAGATGTCATTGAGAGAGCAGATGGGTACAGTGAATCGTGGTTTTGTAGTGACTTGAGCCTCTTGTCGTGATTGTAATTTCAATACTTGTAAAGGTTTTCTAACACGGATACAGGCTATTATTGGTGGGTTTTATTCAGATTTAATGGTGGTAAACCTATTGATATCCCCTTGGAACATATGTCAATGTTGACAATTTCGGGATCTATTTGTGGAAAAGTATCAAAAGGGACCTCTGATAAATCTTCTCAGACATGGTATAAGTAAACATGATTATTGATTTGAAGTGTAAGTTGGAATAAAATGGCAGTTGTGGGAACTCATTTCCCAATAACCCAAACAGATGTAGGATCACCCAACCAACTTGTGAAAAAAGGTTTGGGTCCTGGCACACGAACAAAGGTTCTTTATTTGGTGTGAATACGAGTGAGTGAGTAAGTGAACTGTAATGAGAGAGCTATGGTTTGTGATTGAGTAATCACTGAACAGATGTGATATTCAAATGGGAGAATAAATGTTATTGTGGAAATGTATCCCCTAGATGTAAAACAATCCCCTGAAGTGCCTTTCTAGGCTTGGTTCTCTGCCAGTCATTGGATTTGCATCCCTGAAAAAAATATGTGAAAAGTGCCACTTCTTATCTGCCCCATGCCTTGGGCCGTCATTTGTGTTTACAGCTTTTGTTGAGTTCTCTTTGTGTCCAGGTCTAGATTTTTTATTTCCTGGTGACCTTAGTCTGTTTAAATTAATATAATGTCATTTTCCTGTTGTAATGGGTCATCATCCAATCTTGATGACAGAGTTGTTATCATTTCAGTGTCATGTACAAAACAATTGCCGACATTTTATGTCAAGTTTTTGCTGTGATGGGAGCTGCTGACATTTGATTCATTGATGATGGGGTCAAGTAACCAATTTATCTAATAATTTGTCAAAATATCTTTTCTGAGATAAAAAAATATTTTAAAAACATAAAAATAGTTTAACTCTTCACAAAAATCCCAGATATTCTAAATAAAAATTTAAAAAACTCACAAAAGGTTTTTATCATCCTAGAAATATGCTGATAGTTTAATATGATTGTTAGTAGTTTAACCTCGTGTGTGTTAACAGGCTATTACAACAACCCTACCTTTAGATAAGTTTAGTATAAGCAATGGCGCTGTTTGTTTTACTCCGTCTCTCCCCTGTTTACTCTGTTTTACCACAGATGGCGCTCTGCTATTGCCATCACAACTCGCCTCTCATAACAATCTAATCGTGCACTGGAAATCCCCTTGCCTGAAAGTCTAACCCCGCAATACATTTTCCTGATACAGCTGCCGGAGTCGTACCTGTGGACGGTTTAATATGTTGTTTTATTCATTGCCTTGGATGATAAGTGTATCTAGCCTGCTTGATAAAAAATAAATGAAAAATATATAAATAAATTGGGTGAAATTTGATAATGTGGTTAATTCTGTTCAAATACCATGGATGACACAAAAAAACAAGCCATATATTTCTTTATAATTACAAGCCACATTTATGCTCAGTTTTCAAGAAGAATCAACTAGAAACAATATATTTCCTCAAATTTATTAATCAGTCTAGAATTTTATAAAAATATTTTTTGAACTCATAAAGCTATATATTAGCTCCTATTTATATCCCATCAGAGTGTTTGAAAAAGACATCTGCATCTGAAGAGAACAGATGGCTATGATACGATTAGCTTTTTAAAGTAATTTCATAAGTTATTGCAACTGCTGGTTACAACAACATAACCAAGATAGAAAGCTCTACGTTTCCATGGTGTCTCAGGTATAGGGTACCATAGCACAAGCATCAGTGATCTCTCTGCATGGCAATTTCATTCTCCTTGCTATAGGTGCTGAGTTACTGGGTTTAGACGAGCGTAGAAGTCTGTAAGTTTAGGAGATTGTGTATTATCTCCAAGACCGGGGTCTTTTGATAACCATACTCATTTGAATCGCTGAAGCGTATATGCCGCACATAGCCTCGTAACACCTAAGCCTTCACAACACTGATACTTCAAAGCAAGGATTGTTATACCCCGAAATGATAGACTCGGACGGACAGAGTAAAAAAGAAAATCCATTTATGGTGAAATAATACAGCCGTGTCTGAGGGAAGATTATTTGAGCTGCTTTTTCCTACCTCACAAAAGAAGAGTAAGGGGTTTTCTATTCAGGATTGTATACGTTTCTTGCTGTAAAGGCGTATCACTGGGGTCTATTTAGGCAATTATAATTCCTCAGATATTTGTAACCTTCATGAAACATGTCCGTCTAAAAAGGGAGTGTATTCATTATGAATAAATGGGTACTAAATTGTATTGATTTGTCAAGAATAATAGTTTATTTTTGGTTAGTTATGAAATTTTAACAGTTGTTTTCATAAGTTTCCTGGAGGTGTTAATGTAAAAACTGCTCACAAAAATACAAGTTTTGTAAGAATTTAAATTGAAATCTCACTTCATAATTAACATCTATCAGAGCAGAAAGAAACATTAAACACCATTATAAACTGATAGCTCTGATTTAAAAAGACTTATTTGCAAATGTCAAATATACACAGATGAATGATATTCTTTCCTACTGGTTCATATGCACAACTATTCTTGATGGTATTATATGTGCAAATATTAAATTCATGAGGCAGAATAAATGGGTTTGCATCAAAAATATTCCTCAAGTTGCCGATTTGCTGAGTTTTGAAATGGATTTACAAGAGGTCCTCTGAGATTATAAAACCATGCGGCTGAATTTCTGGCAGTTTGATCAATGACAATTTGGTACGTCAACACAATGAGGCAAATCTTCCATCCGAATGATTCATCATCGTGAAAGCCAGTTACAGTAATCTACCATGCAAATCCCATCCAAATTCTATCCATAATTGTGTCATCCTATCTTCCTAGAGACAACTATGTTCCCGTACACATCCCCTTGCTGAAACGCACATTTATGCACTGGGAGCATGTAAAGATAGTTTGGTACAGCAGTCATTGATCAAACTTGAGAACGGTCAGAGTGAGGCTGCGAGTCCAAGCTAATAGGGATGTGGCGAGTAGTCGATTTGATACAATTATCACTGACTAAGCGTACGCCTTTCTAAATGCGTGTGAAATCCCAAAATCATTTCAGTTGTGTAGCGGCTCCTGTATCAACAGCCTTAGCTTTGCAATGGGGTCAGCGATTGGTCACATTCTTTGATTTGTAGTTGATATTTAAGTCTCCGATTCATGTACATTGATTGGCTGGCTGATTCAGGCGAGGTCTTAAATTTCTATGACTCATTGTGCTGGTGTCTTTAAGATTTTCAATATTGTTCAGAATCAGGTAAATTTCCATTATTAATATGTTGTGGAAGATTGATGATCAGCATTTCTGTGTTTTTGCTCGTTATACTGAAACAATGACAGTTTGCTGTGTTGAACTTTTTTTTACTGATGTTGATCTACTCTCTCATGCCGACAATTTTCAAAATGAAATATATAACTAATGCTAGAATGTTAAATCACCACCCTTATGAGCCCACATTCCATTTCGTCGCCCAAACCTGATATCATGATAACCTGTTTGGGTACTATAATATTATCCTCACCACTGATTACAGGCCTGCGTTTAAAGCTTTCCTATGTCAGACACAGTTGTCACCTAAGTAGTGTTCCAGTAGCCATTTTGTGTAAGGCAGCCATGTTGGCTAAACAATTGACACCACTGTAATAACACAAGATCGCATGCTTCAGTTTGGCTTTGATAAGGTCAAACATTCAAACCTGATATTGGAGATGCTGTTTTAGAAAGAATTTATAGGTTATAGTTGGAAAATGTAGATAGTTTATGAAAGGTTTAGTTGTGACGCATGAAAAATAAATCATTTTAGAAATAAAATCTTTAGCATATGATATTAGGTATTTATGACATATCTCTTGTTTACAGATGAGGAAAAAGGAATTGTGAAAGAAAATGACAACGAATACTTGCAGTCACCTGATGAAGATTTAAGAAAAGCAGGAGGTATGTTCTGGTGACAGCATGACACAAATTATATTTAGTTTCACAAGCTGAATTCTGTGACAGTACATTAACTAATTTTCATATGCTGAATTGAAATTGTTATGAATTCACATATTTTGAGGAAAATAATAAAACTGCTATGTTACTACTGTTGCTGCTGCGATGATGATGATGATGATGATGATGATGATGATGACGACGACGACGACGACGATGATGATGATGATGACGATGATGATGATGACTGTTACTACTAGTACTTGTATTGTTAATATTATAATTATTATTATCATTAATGTTATTATTTCAGCTGCACCAACCTTTATTGATGAGAACAAGATGAAACATAAGGTCCTGTTACGTCCAGTGGGAAGTTCGGCCAGGTTAAAGTGCAGAGCCCGCGGTAACCCACGCCCACATGTACAGTGGTTCAAAGATGGCGGCCAGCCAATCGAAGACAACGAACATTCCCATCCTATGTGGATACTGAAACTACATGATATGAAGGAAGTAGACACTGGGAAATACACCTGTGTTGTAACGAACAGACTCGGTTCAATTAATTATACATACTCCATCGAAGTGATAGGTGAGTTAAAAACACAAAACCTATCTTCCACAACCTTAATTACATTTTACTTGAGTTAAAATGTGTGTGTTTTTTATACTTTAGGATTGTGCAAGTTACATTTTTTTATATCTGAGCCATTTTTGGATAAAAAATTACTCGGATAGATATTTTTATGTATCTCTTGGATTTATTATGACTTGACATAAATGTATCATATATTTATACCACTGAAGTCTCTGTTTATGCATTGGATATCGTTTCCTCTTGTATATTTAGTGTGAGTTTAGTTATTGAACTAAAAGGGCTGACATCATAAATATTTTAGGAGATATTGGTATGAAATTGTGTGCTAAACCTGATACCATATATAATGAATTATTATATGGTCTCTGGTTAAACTAAGGAAATTACCTCATATTGTTCGTGGGTGCGTAACTTTTGTTGTTGAGTATACATTAACAGCCTCTATGTGTCGTGTTAATATCCTCCTAGATCATGTACTTGAGGGTAGTAAGGAGACTCTTAATATCTGAAATTAGGCATCCACAAATGTCACGGTAGGAATCCACCGGTGCGCAAGACATTCACAATTTGTATTTACTTCCATCAAATATAAATGGATCCGTGTTTGACATTTAAATGTCAGAAGCATGTGTGAGACAATGTGAAAGAATTCAAATATCAAAATAATAATTTCATGAAACATGGTTCTTTTTGCAGAAAAAATGATGAAAAAGAACAAGCCTGTGTTAATCCCTCCACATCCCAAGAATACATCAGTAGTGTACGGGGGAACAGCATCCTTTCAGTGCCGAGTACGCAGTGTCGTTGATCCACACATACAGGTAATGAAAGTGCCTACCATCCAGCACAGTTGCACAGTCTTTCAGGAAATCGTTATACAATTCACATCAAGCAAGTGAATGCATTATTTATAGGATCTCTCGAGATCACTGAAGTGATCTTCCTAAGACAAATAGTCTTGGTTGACAGATACATCTCACCATGCTAGGGAATCTGAGTGACAGCTGTAATTTGTGAAAATTATGACACATTCGGGGGTAACTTAAAAAGGTGTCTCACCTGTTTTGAAACTGTAAAATCCAGATCAATATTTGAGTGAGTGAGTGAGCATGCGACAAATTTAGAAACATTCCATCAATACCAAAAATGGTCACAACAGCATCTAACTCATCTTTAAGTGTAATACCAGGCCCTGATTTCTCGAAAACAAACTTAAGTCAGAGTTTTTACTCAAATTTGAGGAAATGCATTTTCCAGAATAAACTGAAATCAATATTAAACTCAAACTTAGTAGACAATTTGAGTTTGGTGGATAGATTACTTAAGTTGTTTGGGCTTTTTTATTTTAAAAATGCAGTTGAGTTAAAAACTCAGTTTGAAATTTGAGAAAAACTTGTTTCGAGAAATCGGGGCCAGACCGGGTTAGATGAAAACCTGGATTGACTACTATCTCCCCAAAATATAGTTATATAAACAACTTGACTGAAATAATGTGGTGACTTCCCTAGTCAATGAACTTGTTATACAAGTAGAACTGTCAGATCTGATATTTCCATGTTAAGATCTCAACATTGAAGATAATTCTGAAAGGGTATCCATGAAAGAAGACGTCCTTCACATCATCACTCACAGAAAAATTCTGGGATTTCTTATGACTGCTTGGTATGAGAGAAAACAAATATGAAAGTGTGAAGTAAAGATTTTGAACGAGATTATAGTGAGGGGTAGAGACATCATAATGGAGAAAATTGGCATATTTTGACTGACAACACGGAAGTGCATTTCTGAGTGCCTGGGGTTAGTTGGTAATTGTTGCAACATCCGTTGAGATATTTTGATGAGAGTAGAGATATTTTGCAACATTTTGGGGCTTGCTGAAGCTAGCAGTGCCAGATCTGTGTTGACACAACACATCTGCATCTGGGGTAATTCATCCAGATAGATTTGTATTGTAGCACAGCTGGGAAAATATGTCGCTAAAATATTTGTCTGAAGCGACAGAGTATAACAAGGACTACAGTAAATATGGAGGAGGAAACGATCAACAGAATAACCTACTGGCAACAAGGAATTATGGGTGATCTGTCCGGCAGAAATACTTTCGTAATTCATTGTTACAGTCTTCAATGACAATCCCTGAATTTGTTTTGTGTAATAAAGGAGGTTACACTATGACTTCATCATAGTCACATAGACAGCCAGGAATAAACTCCCACTGCAGCTTGGATTTGATTGGTTCACTGATATTTATTTATTTATTTTTTATTTTTTTCGCTTAAACATTTTGGTCATAGATCGGAGTTAAATATGGACCGTAATTGCAGAGTATGAAATAGTAGGGTAGCCTAGTAGTTACAGTATTTCATAGAATGCCTGGGTTCGATTCTCCTCATGGATGCTGTGTGAAGCCTGTTTCTGGTGATATTGCAGGAATATTACTCAAAACGATGTAAAACTCATCATCACCAGTACCTAGCTTGATTCACTCAGTAATGTGGAGTATCCTCAATGTTTAGGGCATGGCATTAATGTATTCCTCAGTTGTGGTATCTTGTTTTCACAACCTCTGTTCTGTCTCCACAGTGGCTGAAGCGTATCGAGGACTCGAGGACATGGACAATCACAACAGCACCATCAGCGTGAAAGGCCAGCAGTTTGTGGTGTTGAAGACTGGGGACCTCCTGACCCGCCCCGACGGGACGTACCTCAACAAGCTGGTCATCCACCGTGCCACGGCTGCCGACGCCGGCATGTACATCTGTCTCGGAGCAAACAGCATGGGATATAACTTCCGCAGTGCTTTTCTGTCCGTTGTGCCAGGTGAGAACTTGCACTAATATTTTATACAAATACACCCAGTGACTTTCAACTATGATATTATCAGATTGTATATATTAGTTGTGCAAGTGGCATTTTATCAGCTGTTGTATCGAGAGTTGATGTATAAATTACAAGTTTATTTCTTTTAATGCAATGCTTCCTACAGATGTAAATAAGAAAGAATGAGGAAGTAGAATTCCATTTGCTGATCTTAGATGATATTAAAATATGATTCACCATGATGTAGAAAACACATTACCAAATAAAATAGGGGCGGTAGGGTAGCCTAGTGGTTAAAGTGTTCTATAGTCACGCCGAAGACCCGGGTTCGATTCCCCATGTGGGTATAAACTGTGAAGCCCATTTCTGGTGTCCTCAGCTGTGATATTGCTGGAATATTGCTAAAGCAGTGTAAAGCTAAACTCACTTACTCTTCCACCAAACAAGTCAAAAGTCTTTCAAAACAATACATTCAAATTCTTGCAGGATATTTAGTTTATGCTTGTTTTTGGTGCACCCAGATATGATTTTGATAGGTAACCTTGAAGTGACATCTGAGTAAAAGTAAACCTTGGAATTTCTTTCAGGTGAAGGGTCATCGTACGCAGCCCAGCCCGACACGACATCCTCTTCCGCCAACAACCTACCTCTTATCATTGGAGTGCCTTCCTGTGTTGTGCTAGTGATTGTCATTGTGGCCATCTTCCTGCTACAACGGCGGCGGCGCTGCAACACCACCAGCGGTGGACTGAAAGTGCAGCGCATGCCCGTGCCCACCCATGACAAAGACATGTACACAAACCCATACAATGCTAACATGCTACAAGCAAGCAGAGACAAACTGCCTAAGTCCACACCGAGTATAGATTTCTACTCTGACATTTCATCTGTGTCACGCAGTCAACACAACCATAGTCATCAACATGTTCAATACAGTTATTGAGGTGTGTACAGTGGAAGAATTTGTGACGTACAGTTGCTGAGATGTGTACAGTGGAAAACGTTGGTGTACAGTTGGGACTGCTGTACAGAGACTGCAGAATGGTCACGTGTGTGAACGTGCGGATACTGCGCATGCTTAGCGTGACGTCGAGAGTGGAAATTCTGAATGAGAATTAGCGTGTAAACACCCAATCGTGTTTAGACTCTTAGAACATGCTCAGTGTGACTCTAAGCATGTGCAGAAGAGGTTCACTGAAAGCCAGGGATATAGCTTTATCTGATAAAAAATCCAAATAACCAACGAGCTATGTGTGAATGTGTTAGTGATGGAAGATGGTTCAGTTGCCATGGTGACGGATAATAATCCCCTGACAAGTGAAGATGGTCAAAATCATTATTTACGTGATATTTTCAAATCTTTTTTCTACATACAAAAAATCTTTTCAAAAAGAAATTGTTGCAAAGTGAATGTTATAATTATTTGCTCAGTAGATACAAATACAAGATCTATGCAAACATGGACTGATCCATCACTATGGCTGCCATCTTGGCTATGCAATGTGGACATGGAGAGGACATCCAGACACATTCAGTGACTTTCCTTACAATGTGGCCTTGCATCTGGTGGGTGGAATTGACTGGACATAGCTCACCATATGACACAACATAGTGCTCTTGTATATAATCAATCGCCATGGAAACCAGGGCTCTTACATTCAGTGCAGGTCCACAGTAAGCTAGAAACAAACCGAAAAACAACAACAGAATGTTACATGAATAATATATTGGAATGGAGAGGGAATATATGAATGCAGAATCGTGTTAGTAGTTGGGCAATGTTAGAAAAACATTCACAAGATGAGGTTGGGTAGCCTAGTGGTTAAAATGTTCGCTCCTCACAACAAAGGTTCGTTTAACCACATGGGTACAATGTGTGAAACCTAGTTCTGATGTCCCCAGCCGTGATATTACTGGAATATTGGTAAAAACCGATGTGATTTCAGTTGGCTATGTGAGGGCTGTTATTTATCGTGTCAGAGTGGATGTGGAAACTGATTAGCTAATTTCGGAATCTGTGAACTTGATGAAGAAATGTGTGACTATGTGTTTCTGATTATTGTGGATCTGTAGGGATGTAGTAACCCTTGTACTGAGAATGATAATTGATAAGTTTGTATAATTTATTTTCAAGCCACATAACTTTGTATAGAACATGCGCGTGTGCCAGAATGGTTGCAAGTAAGAATGGCGGACTGAATGACGTGTGGCTTGCGGAAACAGGGTAGATGTTTCGACTTTCCTCCGAGAAATGTTCATCCACACGTTGTGGAAGTGATGACATGTGACAATCATCATTGAACCTATAGTGCTATTTAGATGAAAACTGATTTGTTGTGATTTTTCTGTTAGATGTATATTTGTAGAAGGTGTTACATAACCTGTAACATATGAAAGTGAAACTGATTCCAAATATGTGTATAATGAACGCTGTACAAATGTGTACATAGTTCAAAGTATGTACAAATGTTCAGATATATAATAAAAAAAATTCAGTCCTGTACAAGATTTAAGGTTTTACAAGATAGTTACTCAAAACATATCAAAGTCAATATAGTTTAATTTGATTTTTAAAAGAAGTTTTATTGCTTGCCCTGTGTATTAGTTGTATGGAAGATAGTGTTAAGGATGACTGAGGATTTCCATATATATAGGCGTTACCATGGTTACAGGGTAAAGTCAAGACAGTTGGATGTAAAATAGTTCATAATAGCCCATAGATTTTGTCATTGTACATTTTCATTGTGTAAACACCAATAGCTTTAATCTGCCACATCATTTCAATGTATCAGGGCTAAAGTCTGCGTACATAGAGAAATATCTTCACCACAGATACACACGACCAGGGCCAAGATTTACCAAGCTCTCTTAGCGCTAAGATTGTCGTAAATTAAATGTTAATGTATGGCACTTACGACTATCTTAGTGCTAAGAGAGCATCGAAAATCAAGGCCCAGGACTCACAAAGCTATCGTAGCGCTATGACAGTCGTATGTCTATGTTACAGTGTAGGAAGGAGACAGTCGTAGCACTACGATAGCTTTGTGAAACGGGCCCTGAAATCTGTCTGTGTTGCACGTTTCAGTACAAGAGATTTGATTGGCTGCAATTATAGTCATGTGATCAGTTGCTGACCATTCATGAAACAAGACACAAAAATGGCGAAATGGTCCTGTAAGCCTGCATCCACTGAGTGGCAAATATATGTGTAGTTCAACAAAATTATTTTCCTCTGGAGAATTTTGCAATTTTGATGCTAGCATTTTAGATATACCCACTTCTACCTCAATGTTGGACTTACTGATGTAGCATACTTGATTGAAGGGAAAAGTTAATTAGACGTAATTATTTAAGAATCGTGAAGATTTTGTTATAGCAATTTTAAACTGTTTTGTTTATTTTCTTGTTCAGTTCACTTCAAGTTTCAAGGAATTTTGTTAAAGATACTTTGTTACTAAGTTTCAGTTCTTGCAAATATGTTCACTGAAACTCTTTCACACTTGTTCTACATTTGTGAAGGTTGAAGTTCATTTCACAAGTTGTGAGGAATTTTATTCAAATGACAATATATTTCCAAATCTGAGTTGCAAATGTTCTTGCAAACATTTTTTGCATACTGAAGTATGGATCACTTGTTTTCAGTACACCTTACAAATTATTTGCCCAAGATGCAAAATGGTTTAAAATAAACACAAGAGAGTGAAGATATTATGTTGGAAGGGCATTCACTTTATAAACAATGTGATTAAAGTTACTTTCTGTATATAATTAACAAATCCACAGTGGATCTATTCTTTTTCATTCCTGATTTGTTGTACATATATATATTGCTGTTGACGGCGTCAATGACCGCTCTTGTCCTGTGTGTGACAATCACCTGCCCCTCTTGAGCACCGATATGTTGCCTTGGCAGGGTCATGTGACTGTCATGTGACTTTGCCATCAGTATTAAATCACCTATAAGGGATGACGCAATACGCCACCCATATGTGTAATATATTGTCTTCAACGAGAATAAATTTGATATGTACATTTTATATGACTTTTCTCTTGTTTGTTGGCTGAGCGTTTTCACATAATGGCATTTAGATGTGTTCAAGGGTCACAGAACTCCCAGACCCAGAGTAAACTCTCATGTGGAGACCCAGTTCCATTCACACAAAGGGTACAATGTGTGAAGTCCATTTTTGGTGGTATTCGCGGTGATATTGCTGGAATATTGCTTAACAACTCGCTTACTCACTCACTATGGGTGAGGTGAGGTGAAATTGGGTTTAACGTCGTGCTTGAGAATATTTCGCTCATATGACGACATGCATGTGTATGTGTATGTGCGGCTGCTTGTACTAGCCCAGACTGAAGCTGGTTTTATAGTGCTAGCCCACTGAGATACCATGCCGCAGTGAAGCATGAATACCCCACTCAGACACATACTGACTCCGAGCCGACCAGTCCTTGTACACATTAATGCCGAACGCAAGGCAGGGACCAACAAGTACCATATTTTAACGTCTTTTGGTATGAGGCAGCCGGGGATCGAACCCGCGACCTTCCACTCTCCGGGCGGACGCTCTAACCACTACACCAGGGAGGCGGTCCTCTATGGGTGAGGTAGCCCAGTGGTTAAAGTGTTTACACTTCACACCAAAGACTGTTCGATTCCAAACATGGGTACAATGTGTTCAGGCAATGGATTCCAGGTCCGAGTAGTCCTACCTATGCTGATCATAACAGGCCACTCAAAAAATGGATCTGGTAGTCAAAAACGTGTCACATTACCTGGATTTTGTGTATGAGAGCATTGCTTATGTCATCACTGGATTAGTGAAGCCAATCTGTGGTGTCCCCCACCATGATATTGCTGGAATATTGCTAAAAGCGGCGTAAAACCATATTCACTCACTCACTCACTCATCACTGGATTGTCTGGTCTGGTTTTCAGCTGGATTATTGCTGAAAGTGAGAGTTAAGCAACAAGTACATGGTTTCATGAATACACAATTAACAATGAAATAACAGTTTTTGAAAAAATGAATTTGAGTGTGTGCTTAACATATTAGTATCTATTAAACCAAAGCAGGTGGGGCGGTTTCAGCAGCAAGGTCCCTGTATTAGTCACCTATTGTATCAAGAGGTCAGTCACACCTGTTCACACAGAGAAGGCCACAGGTATATCATACCTAAGACATCATGTGGAGCCCCACATGTCTGCCAATTATTTTTTTTTGCACCACGCCTGTCATAGCTATGCCTCTGCATATTTGACCCCAGAGACCATACTGATGTGATCGGGTGGTCAAGCCAGCTGTCTTGGTTATGTCATATCCTGAGGTTTTACGCGGTTTGCAGCAATATTCCATCAATATCACGGCGGTGGATTCGAAGACACCGCCCCTGATTTTGTTAACTGGTGCTTATTATGCCCATCACTGGATTGTACAGACTGAGTTTGTAAGACACTCATAGCAGGCATATTGCTGAGAACTGGCATGAAATAACATTCAAAGAATATCTGTCCCAAAAGTTTCGCTTTCAGATTCCACGTCCACACAGAATGAATGTGTAGACTTGTATAAATGATTACAGCATACCTTTTGCCTCTTGCACTGTCCGGGGCCGGGCGGTGGGGTAGCCTAGTGGTTAAAGCGTTCGCTCGTCACGCCGAAGGCCCAAGTTCGATTCCCCACATTGGTACATTGTGGAGCCCATTTCTGGTGTCCCCTGCTGTGATATTGCAGGAATATTGCTAAAAGCGGCGTAAAAAAAAACCTCACTCACTCTTCCACTGACCAGTAACGGGTATTATTGTCTATGAGTGATTAAAACTAGAATAATCATGTGAGGTGAAATTGGGTTTAACGTCGTACTTGAGAATATTTCGCTCATATGACGACGTGCATGCGTGTGTATGTGTATGTGCGGCTGCTTGTACTAGCCCAGACTGAAGCTGGTTTTATAGTGCTAGCCCACTGAGATACCATGCCGCAGTGAAGCATGAATACCCCACTCAGACACATTATACTGACTCCCAGCCGACCTGTCCTTGTTGTACCCATTAATGCCGAACGCCAGGCAGGGACCAACAAGTACCATATTTAAACGTCTTTTGTTATGAAGCAGTCGGGGATCGAACCAGCGACCTTCCGCTCTCCGTGCGGACGCTCTAACCACTACACCAGGGAGGCGGTCTAGAATAATCATGAGGATCAGTAATGTTGTTAAGCTGGTAAAACAGTGGAATATGGTAGGGGAATATATTGTTGGTGACCTGAACACAAGCCTGTTGAATGTCATTTTGTTGGATATTATCCGGGCAAATTGATGATTTTCACCACGTTTAGATGATATTACTGAAGGTGAGACAAGGTAGGATTTGATACTCCAATCACGTCGCCCAGTTAAACTGTATCAGCTGACAATTAAAATGCGTCCTGTTTTGGTACGCATGGTGAATGTAAAACAATTCAGCCAATATCAATATTGTATGACTTGTCCAGTAAACAGCAGGAAGTATGATATTGTGATTCCAGTCAGTCATATCACCATAAGAATAACTGTCCCCGCCCCGATGTTTTATTGTATCTGATTACTGGAAATTATAAGTACGGTAGTTTCATAACAAATCGGTACCGTTATACCGTCGTACGCGGTTTGTTGTTTAATGCTGCACTCAGCAATATTCCAGCTATATGGCGGCGGTCTGTAAATAATCGAGTCTGGACCAGACAATCCAGTGATCAACAGCATGAGCATCGATCTACGCAATTGGGATACGATGACATGTGTCAACCAATTGCAAGTCAGCAAGCCTGACCACCCGATCCAGATAGTCGCTTACGAGAAGCATGGGTTACTGAAGACCAATTCTAACCGGGGTCGTACGTGGTTAGCAACTGAAGTTCATCAGCGTGTAACATGGCGATCAAGTAAGATTGGGAACATGTAAGCTTTAGTTCTGCTTGTTGTATATCCCCGCACTTAACAATATTCATTCTATATGACAACCGATTTGATCGAATCTGGACCCGACAAACCCACGCCTTCAGTGTAAGAAGACTGACAATCCACCAACTCACGGAGCCTAGCCAGCCGATCCACAGAGCGACCTCTTGCGACAAATACTGGTTGTGGTGACCAATTTTGACAGAGAATCGTCGAGTGAGTTTTTGTTAGGCGTGGCTAATTACATTAGGTTTCATGGTGAAACTTCTACTTTTATATATACGTTGGTTGTATACATACTGTGGGGGATTATTTAAAACACACCATGTAAATATATTGTATGTTGAGAAGTGTTTTGATTGTGACTTACAAGTCGCTAACGTTGTCTACATATTGCGAAAACACACACATGTCCTTCACAGTGCTCTGAGTGGTTTATGATGAAATTATGAATTTTAGAATCGCACGTGCTTGTTTTGCGCCAACAGTATAAAACACAGTCAGTTGAAAGCAGTATACTAGTTTAACAGCCAGAACGAGCCAAGGGAATGTCGCAGTTGGGGGATTCGAACAGAAATATTGCCAGACTGTACGACAGACCATTATCGGACTGATCGTGTCGGTCAGACTGGCCGGAAGACCGAGAGTGATGACCATCACCGCTGCATTCTCCACCTGTGCAACCGGATGTGATCACAAGTGACGTCATTATCATCAACAGCGCTGGGTCACCCCGTCAGCAGGACCTCTGACGACTGCGTGCTGTCAACATCCTGGCCCTTTCGGGGACCATTTCAAGGCATATCATTAACAGGTCAACACCGACTGAATCGTCTACGTTGACAGGGACGTGCTTGCAACGTTGCAACGTATCTGTGGGTTTTTGGCAACATCAACAATGTTTGTGATTTGTCACAATCAAAGTCACAGTCAAAAGTGACAAAACACTTTCCAAAATATGGACGTTTGGGTTAAGGGGAAAACGACCCCTAAGCACCAAGTGTATACTTTCTTCTGAATATCAGTTTATGATCTCTCTGTTAACGTGTATAAATATCCGATCGTACTAACAGATATGCCCATATATGGTTGATAGTTAGATGCCTATCGTTGTTGCCCAAAATAACGTATCTGCATGAGATATAGATTTAGATGCGAAATTGATCGAGGAAATGTTAAATAGATAATGCCATTTTAATCTCAACTAGAATATTTTAATAAAGAATTGAACATTCGTGAGTTGAAATCTCTAAGTCTTACCATAAATGTCCATGCAACATATGTGAATATAGGAACATTATTCGTGATGAATTAATATTTTGAAAATAAGGCAATGTTTCGACTCAGTCATCTCGGCATTATGAATACCTGTAAGTCAAGTGGTTCAACAAAGAGAGGGGTATCCTTTACCCTAAGCAAGGGTCTTCAATATTCGTAAAGGATTCGGCATATGATCTTGAATAAGTGAGTGAATTTAGATTTACGCCTCTTTAAGCAATATTCCAGCAATATCACGGCGGGGGACAACAAAATGTGGGGAATCGAACCCGGGTCTTCGGCGTGACGAGCGAACGCTTTAACCACTAGGCTACCCCCATCGCCCCTACAGGATCTTCACTGTCATTTTGCTGTCAAGTTGTCCAAAGATGACAAATTATGTTTTTCTTTCATAAATTTGACATAAAACAACAATCGAGTGTAAAACACTCAGGGAAGATTGAGTCGGGAGAGGTTAGTAACAGGGGATGAAACCTCAAACAGATGCTCATCCTCATCCAGACATATACCAATATTGGTGATGAATGTTAGCACCAAGTAGTTGGAAAGACCTTAAATATTCATGTACAAGCAGTGGTTGGCCCCCAAAGGTCCCTGATTACAAGTTCATGGGGGTCCGTTATCTGGGATCTCTGAACGTATGTGGTACACAATCTAGGAATTATCAAACATAACCAAACTCATGCATTTTGCTACATCAGCAAAATCTCTATAGGCCTCTCACAATTACATTTGATACACCACACAACTGGATTTCGTGATGGTCGCGAAATGTTTTTTATGTCTCGTTTTTCTGTTTTGTCGCTGCTGTTTTA